GTGTGGGAAGATGTGTGAGTGCCCCAGCCAGCCCCAACCAGCCCCACCAGCCCCACTCCTAAATTTACCCTTTTGATTGTTAATTCCTCATTGTTTTTTGCTGTTTGCTAAGGGGAACCACAAAAATTCATTCAAGTTGCTGTTAGGTGGGAAAGGCATGGTTTTTCCAAGCTTAGGAGCTGCTTGTGCTGATGTGTTAGGGTGACTGTTTTGGTTATGTTGGAATCACAGGGTAGAGCTGTGTAAGGCCTGGGAGAGACCTTTCATAGAAGAGAGCAGAGGGGTGTGTGTGGGTTTGCTCCCCAAGACGGCAGGCTGGGTAGCCAGGCTCCAGGTTTGAATCCTTGCCCTGTGGTCTAGGGCAGGTTGTGAGTGGGGACAGCGCCTGCCTGGTGCACGGTGGCTCCATGGGCCACACCATCCCGGAGCTGGTGGTCATCCAAGTCCAGCCATGAGAGCTCTGCCTGACCGGGCTGTGCGCCTTTCCCTACAGCTCTTCACCCAAGTCTTTGGGGTCGGTGTGAGGACTGCTGACCGGTGGTACCGGGAAGGACTGCGAACCCTGGATGACCTCCAAGAGCAGCCCCAGAAACTGACCCAGCAGCAGAAAGCAGGTGAGCCCTCCAGAGAGCCTGGGCCCTGGGCTTCCCCAAACTGCATCCTGGATCCCTCAGCACTGACTCCCTAGAAGCAAGAGAGCAGGCTGGTGCAGAGGGCTTGACGGCAGCCTTGTGTGGTGGGTTTCCTGGGGTCTCCAGGAAGTGCAGTCAGGACCTAGCACAGCCCTTTCTCAATGGATGATGCTGACCACAGCAACTGCCCTGGGCCTTGGGCACCCTGCCCAGAGGGTGCCTGGTACACAGAGGCCTACAGAGGTGGCACCATGCAGGGGAAAGAACATCAGCTTTCGAGTTTTCGGGTCTGAGTTCTGTCTACCATTTGCCAGATAGGTGACCATTACCCAAGACTTAACCTCTCTGAGTATGTTACATTTTCTGTAAAAGGGAGAAGACAGGCTGGGCATGGTGACTCACACCTGTAATCCCAGCACTTTGGGAGGCTGAGGTGGGTGGATCGCTTGAGCTCAGGAGTTCAAGACCAGTCTGGGCAACATGGTAAAACCCCATGTCTACAAGAAATATAAGAGTTATCCATGGCCGGGCGCGGTGGCTCACGCCTATAATTCCAGCACTTTGGGAGGTCGAGGCGGGTGGATCACGAGGTCAAGAGATCGAGACCATCCTGGTCAACATGGTGAAACCCCGTCTCTACTAAAACTACAAAAAATTAGCTGGGCATGGTGGCGCGTGCCTGTAATCCCAGCTAATGAGGAGGCTGAGGCAGGAGAATTGCCTGAACCCAGGAGGCGGAGGTTGCTGTGAGCCGAGATTGCGCCATTGCACTCCAGCCTGGGTAACAAGAGCAAAACTCTGTCTCAAAAAAAAAAAAAAAAAAAGAGTTATCCAGGCATAACGGTGGATTCCTGTAGTACCAGCTACTCATGAGGCCAAGATACGAGGATCACTTGAGCCCCGGAGGTCAAGCCTTGAGGCCAAGGCGGAAGTTGCAATGAGCTGAGATCAAGCCACTGCACTCCAGCCTGAGCAACATAGCAAGACCCTATCTCAAAAACAAAAAAAACAAGTGGGAAGTGACCACATGGAATTCAGAAGCTCCCCTGTGAGAGCCAGCAAGTGGCAGATGTTTAGCAAATACTCTGCTCTCTCTGCATGGCCTGTCTGGCTACTCTGATCACACCATCTGAGACCTCCCTCGGGTTGAGGGCTCTGCTGAAGCAATCCCACAGCCCAGCAGGCACTGCCCGCTCCACTGCCTCTTCGCAGATCTCCCCCTGGGCCACTGCCCAGTTCAGCTGACAGGAAGTGAGACCCGCAGAGCTGGTTCCTCTTGATCGCCTCTCCCCACAACAAGAGTAGTCAGGGATGGCTAGCAGCGTTTACGGAGGGCTCACTGTGCCAGGTGCTGCTGTTCCTCACATTTAAACCTTTCCTTGGCCAGGCGCCATGGCTCATACCTTTACGTAATCCCAGCACTTTGGTAGGCTGAGGCAGGTGGATCACCCGAGGTCAGGAGTTCAAGACCAGCCCAGCCAACACGGTGAAACCCCATCTCTACTAAAAATACAAAAATTAGCTGGATGTGGTGCGGGAACCCGTAATCCCAGCTACTCTAGAGGCTGAGGCAGGAGAATCACTTGAACCTGGGAGGTGGAGATTGCAGTGAGCCCGGATTGCGCCACCGCACTCCAGCCTGGGCAACAAGAGTGAGACCCCGTCATAAACAAACAAACAAACCTTTCCTTAACTGGATGTGGGAGGCTCATCGGTAAGGAGACAGGAGGAGGCCGGAGTGAGGTGTTCACAGTGGCAGAGCTGTCTTCCGTCTGTTCACCACCTCTTGGTCCCACTTTATGCACAAGAAAACTGAGGCATCAAAAGAGATGACCTGTGTCATGACTGTGTCAACATCAGTCTCCTTATATTTGGTTCCAAAATTATAGTTTTGCAAGGTGTTACCTTTTGGAGAGCTGGGTAAAAGGCACGTGGGATCTCCCTGTGCTATTTATTTTCTTTTTCTTTTTCTTTTTTTCACTATGTTGCCCAGGCTTGTCTCAAACTCCTGGGCACAAGTGATCCTCCTGCCTCAGCCTCCTGTGTAGCTGGGATTACAGGCGTGAGCCACTGCGCCCAGCCTCCCTGTGCCATTTCTTTTAACTGCAAGTGAATCTACAACTATCTCAAAATAAAAGTTTAATATTTAAAGGGGGAGAGAAGATAGTATCATGCTTAGATTGGAATCTCATTCTGCTCCCTGCCCTAGCCTCACCTTTGTCCGAGGCCTCTCCCAGTTCTGCAGCCCCAGGGTGACCACTTCATGCTGCTGAGGGGTGGGGGCTTGGCGTGGTGGATGGGCTGGGTGAGTCAGAAGGGCCGGTGCTGCCCCCAGGGCTCCAGCACCACCAGGACCTGAGCACCCCAGTCCTGCGGTCCGATGTAGATGCCCTGCAGCAGGCAGTGGAAGAAGCTGTGGGGCAGGCCATGCCTGGGGCCACTGTCACACTGACCGGCGGCTTCCGCAGGTAAGGAGGCCAGATGTGCCCCTCTGGCTTGGCGTCAGACCCCTCCCCAGTGAAGGGACCTGAGTTGGGGACCCTGAAGCAGGCCTTCCCACTCATTGGAAGGGATGGAGTGAGCAAGCTGTGTCCTTGAGTCAAAGTTAGACCGGCCCCTGCAGGGGGAAGTTGCAGGGCCATGACGTGGACTTCCTCATCACCCACCCCAAGGAGGGCCAGGAGGCGGGGCTGCTGCCCAGAGTGATGCACCGCCTGCAGGACCAGGTGAGGGCCTCCCTACTCCCCAAGAGCCACTGCTGGCCAATGCCACTGCTTCCTGCTCTCTCTATGCCACAGGGTGGTCTCAGCCACGCCCACCTCTCTCCACAGGGCCTCATCCTGTACCACCAGCACCAGCATAGTCGCTGGGAGTCCCCTGCCCGCCTGGCCCAGCAGAGCCACATGGATGCTTTTGAAAGGAGTTTCTGCATTTTCCGCCTACCACAACCTCCAGGGGCTGCTATGGGGGCATCCCCAAGGTCCTGCCCATCCTGGAAGGCTGTGAGGGTGGACTTGGTGGTCGTACCCATCAGCCAGTTCCCTTTCGCCCTGCTCGGCTGGACTGGCTCCAAGGTAGGCAGTGTGTTGCTGGGCCACCTTGTGGGGCAGGCCTAGGCCAGCCCTGCTGAGGACAGTCCCTTTCCTGCAGCTTTTCCAGCGGGAGCTGCGCCGCTTCAGCCGGAAGGAGAAGGGCCTGTGGCTGAATAGCCATGGGCTATTTGACCCAGAGCAGGTACATCGTTGGGGACTGGGGACAGGAAACAGCACCCATAGTCTGCTCCATGACCCACAATCTGAAATGGCCCCATACCCCACCTTGGTGCTGGGCTCTGCCTCCGCTCCAGCCTTCCTCCAGGGAAGCAGTCCTGGCCTAACTCCTAGGTCACAGAAGTCCTGCTTCTGTTGCAGAAGATGTTTTTCCATGCGGCTTCAGAGGAAGACATCTTCAGACACCTGGGCCTTGAGTACCTTCCTCCAGAGCAGAGAAACGCCTGAGCCTGCCTGTGGCCCCCACTTCTACTCAGGAAATTGGGCCACCCCCAACTTGGCCACTGAATGTCTCCAGGCAGATATGCTGCCCCCGACCCCTACCTTCACTCCTCCCAAGTGGAGGAGCCCCTCCCCACCAGGGCCTGGCTCTGCCAGAGGTCAGCTGTGCCTGAGGAAATCAGTTGAGCCCCTGCTGGTGTGCTGCAGGGTGGAGCTTTTGGTGCCAGCCTCATTGCTGCGTGACCTTGGGTCTGCTCTTAGCCTCCCCGTGGTTCATGTTCCTGCCCTGGACAGGGCGTTTGAGTGGGGCCCACTTTGTGGAGCCTTGGCAGAGCCCGTAGTCATGAATGGCAAGTGGTTTGTTTGCCTGATGTGCAGTGTCCCATCAGTTGCACTGCAGTTACTGTGGCTCCTGTAGGGCACCCTGTCCAGAAGTTCCCGGAAGAGAATGATATGTCCCTGCGCTGCATTTGAGCCATGACTTGGAGGCTGTGGTTCTTGCCCACAAGGAGCATACTGTGGAGTGTGCTGTAGGCATCTGGACAGGGAGAGGGACGGGGTAGGAGTTAGGAGGAAGAGAATTTTCAACTCTAGGGCTTCAGTACTGCAGTGCCCCAAGCCAGGCCCTGGGCTTCTGCCTTTAAGGCTTGTTCTCAGCACGATCTCTCAAAAATAGGTCATCTCCTGCCACTCCTGGCTCATTGCCCTTTAATGGCTCCAAACCCTAAGTCTGCATGTGGTCCTGGGCTCTGGCATTTCTGCCAGCCCCTTTCTCCAGCCCCACTGGCCCCGAGCCACTTCCTGCCTCTCACAGGCTTCCTGTTTGATGCACCCAGACTCCCTCCCCTTCTCACTGCAGAAGCACTGAGGTGGGCTGGACACAGGTGTCCTCCATGTCCCTCACATTCCCAGGCACGCTCTGGCCTCAGGCTTTGCCCTGGCCATGCCATCCACCCAGAGTGTGCCCTCCCCTTCTTCAGGCCTTAAATCAGAAGTCACTTTGTTAGGCAAGGACTTCCCAGACCACTCATTACATTAAAAAATACTTTAAAAATGAACATGCAGGAAGGTTGACTCTTTTGGGGTACAGTTTTGCACGTGTGGGACACACCAGGTCCATCCCCAGAACACTTCTCTCACTGTCCTGTTGTGGTCACATGGTTTTCCACCCCTACCCACTTAGCGGCTCTCCATCCCTATAGTTTTGCTTTCTCCAGAATGTCATGTAAATGGAACCAAACTATATTTCACCTTTGGAGTGGCCTCTCCACAGCCTAATGCCTTTGACGTTCCTGCAGTTTGCTGGGTGTATTGGTAGTTTGTACTTTATTCCATGCCGTGGGTGTTACACAGTTTATCCATTCAACTATTGAACGTCTGGGTTGTGGCTGGGCGCCGTGGCTCATACCTGTAATCCCAGCACTTTGGGAGGCTGACAGGGGTGGATCACTTGAGGCCAGGAGTTTGAGACCAACCTGGCCAACATGGTGAAACTCTGTCTCTACAGAAAATACAAAAATTAACTGGGCATGTTGGCTCACACCTGTATTGCCAGCTACTCGGGAGGCTGAAACATAAGAATTGCCTGAACCTTGATGCCAAGGTTGCAGTGAGCTGAGATCGTGCCACTGCACTCCAGCCTGGGTGATGGAGACTCTGCCTAAAAAGAAAAAAGAATATCTGGGTTGTTTCCAGGATTTGGAGATTATGAATCGTACTTCTATAGACATGCAGGTACAGGTTTCTGTGTAATACATAGGTCTTCATTTCTCTTGGGTGAATAGCCAGACAAGGATTATTGGGTCATTTGGTAAGTACATGTTTATTTCATAAGAGCCAAGTTGTTGTCCACAGCGCCTTTGTCATTTTGCAGTCCACCAGCAGTGTGAGCACCGCTGTAAGTTAAACACTTCACAGTAGACAGTTGCTCTGTATCCCTGCCAGCACTTGATAGTTTCAGAATTTGTTAACTTTAGCTTTTCTAGTAGGTACATAGTAGTTCAGTGTGGTTTTATTTTGCATTTCCCTAATGCCTGACAATGTTGAGCATCTGTTCATGGGCTTCTACATCCTCACTGGTGAAGTGTCTGTTCAACTCTTTTTTTTTTTTTTTTTTTTGAGACAGAGTTTTGCTCTTGTTGCCCAAGCTGGAGTGCACCTACCAGCCTTGGGGGCCCTGGCAACCCACAGGATTCTGCCCACTGGGACTTGTGTGCCAACCTTTGTGAAGCCTCAGCTTCACAGGCCCCAAGCCATGAGCCCCTCCCCAGATGGGCCAGCAGGAATGGATGGAGGCATGTCAAGGGTTTCTTGCATACTCGGATCCAAGTCTCGAGTGGTGGTCCCTCTGCTGGCCTCTCACCTACCCTCTCCTGCTATCACAAGTGTGGCAGGTGACAGTGTGGTCACTAGGGTGGGGTGGGAGGAAGTGGAAGGCCCTGGATAGGGCCCATGCCCAAGGGTCTGGCCAAGACCCCTTTGTTAGGGTCCCAACTGTGACTTTATTACTCATGGTCTCTTCCCTGCCTCAGTGGCCCTCATCCCCCAAACCTGAATGCAGAAGTCTTGGTCCTGAGTTAAACTCCATGCCACCCCTCCGCTTATGTTGTGGGTTCCTGCTAAGCTGAGCACTTACCTAACAATCAAGACCTCTGATAGTCCTCAGTCCTACCCTGCAACCCCCTTGGATTTCTCTTTTTCAAGGTGGTTTCAGCTAGGAGGGTCAGCGTGGTTTGGGTGAGGGCAGACAGGGTAGGAGCATGTGGCAGGTATGGATGACACCTTGACAAAGGGACCCCACAAGAGAGATGGGGACCCTTTCCCCCCATTGTCCTGGAAACCCAGCTCAGCCCCAGCCCTTGCGCGTGCTGCTGCCTGGTACCTTCTACAAAGCCAGACCCCTCCCCGCAAAGCTGTGGCCTGCATCAGCTCCCCGGGTTCTCCTCCTCTGTCTGCTGAGGGGCCCCTCCCAACCTGGCTGCCAGTCACAGGAGAAAGGGGTTGGGATTTTGTTTGTGCCTCTGCCTGAGCATAGAAGGGCTGACGGGGCCACTGAGCCTTGCCCTGGAGAGACCCTCTGTCCCCTGCTGCCCCCACCTCCCCTGGCCCAGACTTCTGCCCATAATGCCCATCCCTGAGCAGCAGCCCTACCCAGGCTGGGCTCTGGGTGCCAGCTGGTTATGGACATGCCACCTGAGCCCAGGCCAGGAGCCCCTGGATTCATGAGGCTATTTTAAGCACATCTTGGCCAGCACTCCCCTGGCCCCCAGAAGCTCAGCTACTGGTCATCTGCCACCGCCTAGAATGCTGATTGGCAGTTGGCTGGGGTGGGGGCTGGGAAAACACTGTTATAAAGCTGGGAGTGTTAGGGAACAGCCGTCCCTGTCCAGAGTCCTCTGTAGTCCCTGCTGCCACCATGGCCACCCACCGCCTCGTGATGGTCCGGCACGGTGAGAGTACTTGGAATCAGGAGAACCGTTTCTGTGGCTGGTTCGATGCAGAGCTGAGTGAGAAGGGGGCTGAGGAGGCCAAGCGGGGAGCCAAGGCCATCAAGGACGCCAAGATAGAGTTTGACATCTGCTACACGTCGGTGCTGAAGCGGGCCATCCGCACCCTCTGGGCCATCCTGGACATCACGGACCAGATGTGGCTGCCTGTGGTCCGCACTTGGCGCCTCAATGAGCGGCACTACGGGGGCCTTACGGGTCTCAACAAGGCGGAAACAGCTGCCAAGCATGGAGAAGAGCAGGTGAAGATCTGGAGGCGCTCCTTCGACATCCCACCGCCCCCCATGGACGACAAACACCCCTACTACAACTCCATTAGCAAGGTGGGCTGCCTCCACTGGGACGGCCTCTGGGAGGCTGTGGGGTGGGGAGTTGGGCGGGGGTCCACTGCCTCGGGAGGGAAAGCAGTGTGCCTGTGTTCTCCAGGAGCGTCGGTACGCAGGCTTGAAGCCTGGGGAACTGCCCACCTGCGAAAGCCTCAAGGACACCATTGCTCGGGCCCTGCCCTTCTGGAATGAGGAGATCGTTCCCCAGATCAAGGCTGGCAAGCGAGTGCTCATCGCAGCCCATGGGAACAGTCTGCGGGGCATTGTCAAGCACCTGGAAGGTGAGGCCACCCTTGGGAACCCAGGCAGGGCGGGTAGGCAGCAGTCCTGGCTGGCTTCTCATCTCAGCAAATGCTCCCGCTGGCCCAGGCCACTCTCTAGGCGTGGGGTTCCACACTGTTCACTGAAAAGGGAGGGCTGAGAAGCCATTTTTTAGTGCTATGAAACTTTCCTCATTTCTGTATAACAGGGACGTACTCCACAGGGGCTGACTGCACTTGAAACTCGCTGTGTCCCGAGGCAGGGCAGGCTCCAAAGGTGGCATCTGCCCAGGGCCACCCAGCCAGGAAATGGAAGGGCTGGGCTTAGCGCATCTGGCCCCAAATCCCAGCTTTCCGTGGGGCCCTGGACAAGCCACTTCCATCTCTGGGCCCCTACCTTTTCTGGGGTAGCAGGGAGCTCCCAGGACTCCCCCTGGTACTGCCTCGATGTAGGCTTGAACCTCTCGCAGGGCCCTCCCCCATCAGGTCCTCAGAATTCCTGCATGAGCCCCACCACCCATCTCCCTCTGGACTCCCTCTCTGGGCAAAGGAAAGACCAATCAAAAGCAGGGTGAGAGACTTTGGTGTGGCCAGACTCCAGGCTTAGAGCTGGGGCTCCCACTGAAGAGCAAGGGACAAATGGGCCCAGGATGCATGGGTATAGGGTGGCCTCGCCCACAGTGACAGGCACCTCCACTCCGCCTCCCACCTTAGTATTCTCAAATGGCAGGGCAGTCTAAATTAGCATCTTAATGCCCTTCAAGCTTGTCGAGTCCTGGAAAGGCTAGAAGGGTGTGCCCCAAACCTTCTGCTCCTGGGGCCAATGGGCAGCTGACCAGGGCACCCAGATCGGCAGGTCCTGGAGACTGGGCCAGCCCCAAGCCTGCCTGCTGCACACATGGACGTCTGGCACACAGCACTGGAGCCAGGCAGAGGGAAGGACCACCTGCCTCTTCTCCCTTTTGGGGGCTTCATGCAGCCCGATGGCCCTCCCACAGCTTGGTATTTTGGTGGTGAATGTGAAGGGATTTCAGTGGAGTGGAGGAGCCAGACTCCCCAGAGAACATTCTCTTAAACCCTCCTGCACGGAGCGGGGGTGGAGTGGTGCGAATACCAAAGGTCGAGCTGCTATTCCCAGCTCGGGGGCTGCAGGAGGCAGGCAGGGTCGGGTTTCAGACCAGGCACTGCCACCCTCTCCCTCCTCCAGCTCCACTGGGCACTTGCTCCTCTGTTCAGGATGTCTAGAATTTAGAGCACTTTAGAAACTAAAGGGCGAATGTCCTTCCTGACCCTCAACTTCAGTCTGGCTGGAGTCACACTGGGCTGAGGGGACTGTGGACAGCACCACCACAGTCACAGCCACTTGGGTGGGACTAAAGTCACCATTTCTTTCGCCACTGGGCTATTTCTGTAGGCTGCTTGGTCTAACTCAGTTACGCCTTGACCTTTAGGGACACTTCTGTGGCCTCGCTCTCAGGGCTAGGAGGATTGGTGCCAGGGGAACTGGCTCTGTGGCCCATAAATGTCACAGTGTCTGCTGTGTGAACAGGCTGGGTACAGAGGGGCTAAGGACACCTGTTCCTCCGGCACAGGGATGTCAGACCAGGCGATCATGGAGCTGAACCTGCCCACAGGGATCCCCATTGTGTATGAGCTGAACAACGAGCTGAAGCCCACCAAGCCCATGCAGTTCCTGGGTGACGAGGAAACGGTGCGGAAGGCCATGGAGGCTGTGGCTGCCCAGGGCAAGGCCAAGTGAGGGGTGGGCTTGGGCAATAAAGGCACCTCCTCCCACAGCCTGGAGTGCAGCGCAGCCGGCATGCCAGGCTCACCTACTATCAGCTGTGGGGACTCCAGAACAAGGGGTGCAGCCATCCACCCTCCCCCACTCCATGCCTGAGTCACCAGGGGCATGAGCCTAGTTAGTACCCACCCCTAGTCATCAGGACAATGAGCCAGGGCTGCAACCACTCCATGAGTTTGCAGTCAGCACAAGCCCGTGGTGACCCTCAACCTTCAGAGCTTCTTGGTAACCATACTGTAGAACTGGCATGCTTGGGGCCCGTTAGAGAGAAGAGGCCAAGTAACCCAGCCCTCCCCATGGGGAGCAAGGACCACAGCCAGGGCACGGCTTCCCAGGTAACTTCCTGCAGAGGACAGGTGGTCCTCTGCTGTCCCTGCAACCCAGGGTAGCACTTGGGGCCCTGCCTCCTGGGTGGGGACAGGCAAGCCCACAGGGGGCCTCAAAGCTGGCAACAGCCCAAACCTGGGTCTTCCATGGGAGTGGAAAGGAAGTCCCTCTTCATGGGAGAGGCACCAGGAAGCCCTGGCAAAAAGGGGAAAGCACAAGAAGGCCGGGAGCAGGGTTGGGCTCCACGCAGCCTTCACCCCAGGCACCAGCAGGTGACACTGCGAGTCAAGCATGTCCGCCTAACAGCCCTGGGGCCCAGAGGAACCTAATTCCCTGGATGCTCCGTGGGTGCCAGGTACCTCACACCACACATAGCATGCCATTCCATGTAGGCAGAGGATCCCTGAGGCACAGAGAAGGGCAGACCTTGGCCTCTCCCAGAGAAAATGGAAGGCAGGAAGGCTCCAACTTCAGTCCCATCTTAACATTTATGCTTCTTCCTGGTGGCTGATCAGCCGCAGTCTCAGGGTGAGGGCGCTTACCCCAGACACAGAGCAGAGGCAGACACCCGGCAGGCGGGGCGCAAGTGGGGGGGCTGTTCCCACATAGGAGCCTTCAGGCTACAGGAGAGTAGGTCACAGCTGTGAGCCTGTGTAGACCAAACTGGCAATTCATGGTCCAAAAGCATATTTGTTCTTCAGAGACATGGATGAACTGGGACAGAAAATAGGGGAAGACAACAGGCCAAGGCCACTCTGTGTTACTGTTCCTGAAGTCAGAATCAGTTGAGGCACACACTGGAGCCAGCAGGCATCGAGTGAGCCACGTGGAGGAACACGTTGTGTCTGCTGTTTTCAATACCCAGGGTGGGGAGCTTGGCCATTCCCACAGCCCAGGCAGAGGGACAGAGAAATGGAGTGGGGAGCACAGAGCAGGCTCCAACAAGACAACCTCCCTGCTGCCAAACCACCATGATCCACTCTTACTTTGGTCACAAACTCTGCTAAAACAATTCTTTAAGTTCGCTGTTCCCAAGGGTCATTCTAAACTGTGGTGGCCACCACCCCTTAGAAGCAAGAGAAAAAGAAAAAGGCAAATAAATGCAAAAGGCAGCCAGAGCCTCCCAGATGGCCCTGCTCAGGATCCATCACCCCAGCTTGGTGGTGGCCACTCAGAGGTCACCAGAGGGCTGGCCACAGGTGGAGCTTGGCTCAATGTCCTGTCAGAGGCAAGAGCCAAGCTCTCTGGGAGGGTTGGGAGGATGCAGGAAGGATGTTTTGGAATCACCAGGTCATTGCTGCATTTGTGACAAGCAGAGTCTGCCAAGCCAGAGGGAGCCCTGAGGCCCCATCCTCACTGGGGTTCCCATTCTTGAAAGAATGCCAACTCCCAGGCCTCCTCTTCCAGCAAGAAGGAAGCCAGGTCTGAGAGGGAAAAGGCAAGACGTGCCCTCGGCCTCACTCAATGAGCTCCACGTAGTTGGCAGGGAACATGCCAAAGTGGCCATCCGGCCCATAGCCACGCCACCAGCCTTCGTCGATCACCTCGATGCCCGTGATGAGGTTCTCAGGGTCAAAGGAAATTTCTGTATCGTCGGCTGCAAAGAGGACGAGCCCAGATGCACGTCAGGGGCTCCCTCCCACATCCTACCTGCTCAGGCAGCCCCACCCTCCTGCAGTACAGCTCCCTGTGGCTCTGGTTCCCCCTCAGAAACACCCCTGCTACCCTGCTAAGCTTTGGCCAACACTGCACCCTGTCCCAGTGCAGCTCTGGTGACCACACCCCCAGGGCACACCCTCCTACAGAGCATTCCTGAAAAAGGCTAGACACCTGCCAGCCTGCTCCGTGGGGAGCCTCTGCTCCATTCTCCAAGGTCTCCACCCAGGGATGCCTGAGGAACCAGCATCCAGGCCTGGCCCACCTCCCTGTTCAGACTCCATGTTCTATGACAAGGATGGCAACCGGGATTCACATCAGCGGCCAGCAAGTAGCTACGAGGAGCACATGGGGAGGCCTGGGCTGTGCAGGATACTCCAGAGGTGCTTCTACCTCCAAACACACCACCCACCCTCCTGTCTTCTCTTCCTGACACCCCCTGGAGCCATCCTCCCATAAAACCCAAGACCCTCTTGTCTCCTAACCTTAGGACCTTGTGGTCCATGCCAGCCAGGCCAGGGCACCTTACCTGCCTGGTAGTCATACAGGGCACGAGCACAGAGCCCTTGCCCACTCAGCCCCTGGCCCTGCATGTGGTGGTCAGTGTGCTCAGAGCCGGCACCTTGCTGCTGCACCTGCCCAGGGATGACAAAGGTGTTACCCCAGACTTAGCCCTTACATCCAATCGCTGCTCTGTCCCACATGGCTCAGTTCAAGCTGGGAGTACGCAGAGGGCAGGCAGTCTACAGGCTCGAGGGCTGCTGCTGTCCCCACCCTACCAGAGTACAGAAGCCACAGGCAGTGCACAAATCCCCCAGCCATGGGCCACAAGGCCCTCTCCCCACCCAGCACCTCCTACAAACTTGTGCTTGCTCTGACAATTTATAGCACAGGGCTGCTCCAAAAATGCATGTGCTTTAAAACCTGGGATCTGGGGACCATGCCCCCAGAAAACTCAGGCGCCCCGTGATAAGTGTTTCTGAGTACGCAGCCCCTTCCTGGCCCCAGCCCCACTGCAGAAACCCACCAGTGGGGGCTCCTCGTAGAAGGTCTCCTGCTCCGGGGGTTCCTCATACACAGCCTCCTCTTCTGCTTGCACCAGACATGCAGGAGTGTTGGGCACCGGCTCCTCATGGAAATCTGCACCAGGGAACACAGTAGGTTCTCACTCCCACACATCCCCCTTCTCTACCACTGTCCTCCAGGGTCCCCATGGAGTGACAAGCGCCTTGCCTGCCCTGGGCCTTGAGACGGTGGCAGCTGGCTCTCTGCTGAAGTGGGTCTCTGGTTGGGTGAGCTGCTTTTGCAGGAAGGGGCTCCTCAGCTTGCCTGCAAACCCAGGTAAACACACGACATCACTTCAGAAACACTACCTGCTGAAACACACACACACACCCTCCACACTCCAACCTGGTGTACTCAGGGCAGTCTCAAGGAGCTTGCCCAGGCTAGTGCAGGTACATACCCCAGGACTATGTGTTATTTGGTGACCTGGTAGACAGTGCAGCCCAGTATCTTTTGGAGGCCAAACTGGTGACCAGCGTAGTCACTGATGAGGTCAAGGGCCCCAAGTGTGCCTCCTCCTCACTCACTCAACCCTGTCACCGATACATCTGTCACTAGGCTCAGGGGAGCCCACATAGGACCCCAGGCTCCCCCTCAGCCTGCTGTTGCCTTGTGGCCAGGCCTAGAGGGAGGTCTCACCCGGCTGAGGACTGGAGATGGAGGTGGTGGACATGGCCCTCTCCTTCTGCTTGAAAATCTCCCGTGGGTGCACAGCAGACTCCTGCGGGGAAGCACATGTCGTCCCCTGCAGTGGGAGAAACTTGCACCGCTTCTCCCCAGATCACAGCCGCTCTAGCTGTTGGCCAGGTAGCCCCTCAAAGGTGAGTGTGGGGCCAAGAGGCAAAACATGTCCTCAGGTGAAAAGTCATTTAAAAATAAAAAGTAATTTTAAAAAAGAAAGTAAAATACAGAAACCGAGGGGTTCACAGGGCCTCCCCTGGGACCAGGTGCGGTCCATGCCGGAAGCTTTCACCCTTGGCTTTCCTCTCTTGAGGTGCCCAGATGTCAATCTGCCCTAGCTGAGAGTAGGGTGGCCTCTGCCCAGGTCTGGGCTAGGCCCTCAGTCTGAGATCAGGGACTTCCATGTGTGGCCAGGACAGGCCCAAACAAGTAGAGCACCCCCATCTTACCTGCTCATCTCTGTTCCTTGAAACCACTTCTTGCTGCTGCTCCCATGTCCTGCTGGGAAGGGCCGGGTGGGGCACAGCTGAGGGACAGCCACACTGCACCTCACGCCATACTGCTCAGTCCCCCTCGCATCCGCGGGATAGAGTAGGTGCCCAGCAATGCCCTGGGGTGGGTTCCCCAGTCCAGCCCCCACCCCTGTCTCACCTCTGGGGGCTGGCCTCGCCACCCTGCTCCTGATAGCGCTGCTCCCGGCGTGCAGCCTCACGCAGCTCACGCTCCCGGCGCTCCTGCTCCAGCTGCCGCTGTGCCTCCTCAGCCCGCCGCTTTTCCTCCAGCCGACGGTTCTCTTCCTCCTTCTGTGGGGAGAGCCACTGCCCATTCAGCCCTGTGCTAACACTTTAGCCTCATCCCCTGTCCATGACTGGGTTTTAGGCACATAGCCAAAGGCGGGCAACAGAGCCAGTCACTCATTAGCCTTGTGCCTTAACCTACCCGAGCCTCAGTGTGACCATCTGTAATGGGCACCAAGGAGTGCAGATGCTGCACAAGCTTGCTTGCGAGGAAAGCTGAGCCACAGCAGGCAGAACACTCCCACGTGCCTGGCACGCCCGGGGAAGCACTCACCTCTGCTTTGGCCCAGAAGCTGTCTTTACCAACCCTTTTAATCTCAGACACAGCATTGGTCTTCTGGTATACAGAGCCCTGCAGGGGACAGCACTCATTAGAGACCTGAACCCAGGTGGAAGCCCAGGCCCACAGGCACCAGAGGAAAGAATTCACTAAACTCGCAATAGCACAGGTGAGGGCTGCCAGGACTGGACCCCGCAGTGGCAACAGAGCACTGCCCAGTGACCCTCAAGGAGACACACACCAAGATGACCTGAAAGAAGCCCAGGACACTGCCCAAAGCGGGAGGCTCAATCCCAAACACCGGAGGGGTCTCTGGTGATCTCTGATCCTCATGGATGGGGGCCAGGGCAAGAAAGGATGTGCCACTGTCATGATCTCAAGGACGCCAGACTATCACAGCCATGCATCCTGCAGAGCCTCCATTCTGACGGCACAGGGTAGGCTCCAGATGAGGGCTCTGGAACAGTTAGTCCAATCCCCAGGCAAGGTCAGAGGGCTAATCCTGCTCATCTAATCAGTGGACACCCACCACAGCTCAGGGGTGATCTGCAGAAACTAGGCAGGCAAGTGCCCAGCCAGCCTGGGTGATGGAAAGTGCACACTCTTGGCCCCCTGCCCTCAGGGCCTGAGCAACAAAAGGGTGGCGATGGACAGGCAGCACTCACCACTGGGGCCTGGGGCCCCGCATCCTGGAAGCGGCCACTCTCTTTGTGAAAGCTGTAGTTGGCACCTGAAGCCTTGGCCACCTTCTCCATGATGCACTCAGGCTCCACATCCTCCTCAGCTCGTGCGTTGATGGTCACGTGGGCCCCCTGCAGCAGGAGCAGCACTTGAAAAAAAGGCTTTGCAAGCTCAGGAGAAGATGGGGCAAACTCCTGTCAGTCCACACAGCACAGGCCACCACTACACCACACAGGACTGGAATCAGGAAACCAGAAGGTGCCTGTCTGGCTGCTGAGAACCAAGACACAAGCTCCCCTCAAGGGCTGGAACAAACCAACTTGGAGCAAACCCTTCATACTTGCCCCAGCTCACGTGAGACCCTCGCCCTCCACGTGCTATCCAGTAGTCCCTTCTATTGCTATATACATTCCCTGCTGCGTATCAGTAGATGACCCAGGCATGATTTGCATCAAAGGCCTTCCTTCTAATCAATGGAAACTAATTTTAAATGCCATCTGGAAACCACAAAAGACCCCGAATAGCTAAAGCAATCCTAAACAAAAAGAACAAAGTTGGAGGCTTCATGCTACCTGGTTTAAAATTAAACTACAAAGCTATAGTAATCAAAATAGCACAGTACTGGCATAAACACAGACACACAGAACAATGGAAACTAACAGAGCACCCAGAAATAAGTCCACACACTTATAAGAATGTAAAGTAGTACAGCCATTATAAAAACAGCATGTTTTTCTGTTTTTTTGGTTTTTTTGAGACGCAGTCTCACTGTCGCCCAGGCTGGAGTGCAGTGGCACAATCTAGGCTCACTGCAACCTCCAACTCCTGGGTTCAAGAGATTCTTCTGCCTCAGCCTCCTGAGTAGCTGGGATTACAGGTGCCTGCCACCATACCGGGCTAATTGAATTTTTTTTTAGTAGAGATGGAGTTTCAACATGTTGGCCAGGCTGGTCTCAGAACCCCTGACCTCAGGTGATCCACCCACCTTGGCCTCCCAAATTGCTAGGATTACAGGCATAAGCCACTGTACACAGCCAATAGTATAGTTTTTAAAACAGTATTTTCGTTCTACTAAAAATATAACCACCATATGATCTAGCAATCCCACTGCTGGGGATATATCCAACTCTGGTGTTCTGCACTATTAACAACAGCCAAAATATGGAATCAACCTAAATGTCCATCAATGGATGAAAGGGTAAAAACATGTAGTATATAAACATGAAGGAATATTATTCAGCCATAAAACAGAATGACACCCTGTCACTTGCAGCAACATGGATGGAACTGGAGGTCATATGTTAAGGGAAATAAGCCAGGCACAGGAGACAAGTATTGCATGTTCTCACTCATAGGTGGGAACTAAAAGAGTGGGTATCCTGGAGGGAGAGAGAATGGTGGTTACCAGGGGCTGGGAAGGGCATGGAGGAGAGAAAATGAAGAGAAGTTGCTTAACAGATACAAAAATACAGTTAAATAGAAGGAATAAATTTTAGTATTCAATAGTACAGAAGGTAAATTATAGTTTGTTTGTTTTTTTTGAGACGGAATTTTGCCCTTGTTGCCCAGGCTGGAGTTCAATGGCATGATCTCAGCTCAGCACAACTTCTGCGTCCTGGGTTTAAGTGATTCTCCTACCTCGCCTCCCGAGTAGTTGGGATTACAGGCATGTGCCACCACGCTTGGCTAATTTTTTGTATTTTTAGTAGAGATGGGGTTTCTCCATGTTGGTCAGGCTGGTCTCAAACTCCCAACCTCAGGTGATCCGCCTGCCTCGGTCTCCCAAACTGCTGGGATTACAGGCATGAGCCACTACACCCAGCGGGAAATTACAGTTAACAATAATTTATTGTGTATTTCAAATTAGCTAGAAGAGAAAAACTGTAATGTTCCCAACACAAAAAAAAGTGTGTTACTATACAGGTTGAGCATCCCTAACCTAAAATTCTGAAATCCAAACTGCTCCAATGAACATTTCCTTTAAGTATCATGTCAGCACTCAAAACATTTCAGATTCTGGAGAATTTCAGATTTTGGATGCTGAACTGTTAAGTATATAATGCAAATATTCCAAAATCTGAAAAAATCTAATAACATTTTTGGTCCTAAGTATTTCAGATAAAGGATACTCAAACCTGTATATTCGATAAGCTGGGAATTCTCTTATCAGCTCCTAGATGGAAACTGAGGTATGGCTGAAGAAATGTCGGCAGAACCAGATATCAAAATTCTGAATCTCCTTTGCCAAAAGAAATGCAACCAGAGAAATGCAAAATGTTACCTGACAAGTAACCAATAAATGCTTTTGCTACAAGTATTTTTTAAAATTTAAAAAGGTTTTATTATAGGACGGACACGAATCCATATAGAAATGGGCTGGAAAGCAATGCATCAAAGGGCACGTGTGTGCTAAGGTGGTGGGCACTCTCCCCTTCCTCCAAATCCTGACGGTATTACTAAGCTGTTCAGAGGGATCATAAAACAAAACAGAACCAGGGCCCAGCCTTCCCACTGCACCAGCTCCATCATGGTCCTTCACCCTGCCCCACTGTAGCTGGCTCTGGCCACATCCTGACCTCCCATGCACTTGCTGATCGAGAGTGAAGCAGCCTCTGGTGATGCCCTGAAGGGCAGGCAGAGAGCATTAGTCATGAGCACACTCCCGACTCCAGTTCTGATTCCCGCTCGCTCGCACCCAGGAACCTGGGAGACCTCAAGCCTGTGAGACCTGTGCCCAATGGAGCAGGCCTTGCCTGGCCTCACCTTCAGGAAGTTGGCCATGGTGCTGACGTGGCTGGCGCAGGCTCCTTTCCGCACATCGTTCACACCCTCGCCTGTCTGCAACACAAGTATGTCCAGAATGACCCAGGCCTCCCCCAAAGCCACTTCCCTCCCCTGGGAACCCAGTATCTACCCTGTGTCTCAGAAAAGAGAAAACTGAAACACCCAAAGCAGAACCTATTCTGACTGTGTCACACAGGTAAGTTCCCATGCCTCCAAGGGGCTCATGCACGCTTTCCGAGCAGGATAGCTACCGGCTTCCACTGTAGAGGGGGTTTCGTGAGTTTTTTGGGGTTTTTTTTTTTTTTAGAGACAGAGTCTCACTCTCTCACCTAGGCTGGAGTGCAGTGGCGCGATCTCGGCTTACTGCAATCTCCGCCTCCCGGGTTCAAGCAATTCTCCTGCCTCAGCCTCCCAAGTAGCTGGGACTATAGGCACATGCTGCCATGCCCGGCTAATTTTTTGTATTTTAGTAGAGACGGGGTTTCACCACATTGCCCAGGCTAGTCTCGAACTCCTGAGCTCAGGCAATCCACCCACCTCGGCCTCCCAAAGTGCTAGGATTACAGGTGTGAGCCACTGCACCTGGCCTTCTTGAGTCTTCTTGATCTCCACCAAGGGATGAAAGAGGCCCTGTCCCTGCACTCCCAGGCTCCTAAACACTCCCTCAGGCTCTCTACTCCATCAGAACAACCACCCTCAAGAGGACGGGGCAAGGACTCCCTGGGAATGCTTTTACTCCATTCTGCAGAAAGAACTCTAGGCTTGGAGGGTAAATTCTGCATAGCAAAGCCACAGTTATTCCTTGGACCACAATGACTCTTATCAACTACCCTGCTCATTCACCAGCTCAGAGCTGTTCTGTTGATCTACTAAGTCATGCCAGTAAAACACTCTGTTCCTGACGTTAAGACAAAACAGGAAAGAAGACGATGGGGTTTCCTGGGTCACACCTAGATGAAACAGGCTCTACATACCCAGTTGATGAGGACAAATTTGGGTAGTCCAGAGTTGGGGTCCTTCACTCTGCAGAAGGCGTACATCACCTTCCCGCTGTTGAGCTCCTCCACCATCTCCTCCAGACCACCCTCTGCAGTAGAGTCACAAGGAAGGTAAGGGGTGGCCCTGACATCCCCTGCTGGCCCCGGTCCCACCAGGAAGGGAAGCCGAGCTGCCTTTAAACCAGGGCTTCTCACCTCTAACTGTATCAGAATCTTTCTAGGAGTATGTTTAAAATCAGAGTCCTGGGCACCACCCCTACTAAACCGACTGATGAGAGCTGAGTGGGACCCAGGTGTCTGCAATTCTGACAAGCACCTCAGGTAATTTTTTTTAGCCACACTCATTTAAAAACCACTTCTCTAAATCCAGAGGTAATTCTGGAAAGAAAAACAGGGTCATTTCCACAGCAAACCAGTCACCAGACTTCCAAATGGAGGATCTCTATGTCAAAATTTTATTGTTGCCTCAACCTTGCAAAGGGGACACGAATAGCAGGGCCTGTGGAGTCACCCCTCCCTGCATCTGTGTCTGCTCAGGCTCCAGGGCCGCCCAGAAGGCCAGACCAGATGGAAAGCCCTGCAGTGGTATAACTGGCTCAGCCCTCACAGACTCTCAGACAGAAGAGAGGATGATGGGAGCAGGAGGGAGCATAGGAGTGGGCAGCTCTAAACGATTCTCCCCTGCCACTTAGGCTTAGCCCCCACAAGCTTTCCCAGGTTATAAGGAGGAGGAACTGATGAGGTGTTTTAGCTACAGGGCTCTGTGCGTGGAGGCGGTTATGAGTCCCCAGTCTGGGGACAGCAACTTGTCGAGTTTGTGGCAGAGCCCTGTCCTGTGCCACTGGGGATGATGATAGGAAACCTGAGTTGCTGATCCCTGCAACTCCCAGTCACCTGCTACACCACATGTCTACTGTTCAATGGTGATCCTTCTAGAAAGGGTACACCTCCTGAAAAGGTTGTGAAAGGAAGGGGCTTTCTACCAACAACAGCCACGAAACCATGGCAAACACACTCTGAGCACTCATTGAACAATGAAGCCGTGTCCAGCTCAGGACAGAAGAAGGGGTCAGGCAAGTTCTGGAGGAAGAGCAGTCAGGGATGTCAGCTGGGGGCCCACAGGTCACACTCTGACCCAGCCTATCCTGACAACCTCTGCCTTATGCTGGCCAAGAGTCTGTCCTTCCTGTAGAGACCCCCAGAGCCTCTCCTGTGACTATCTGTAGTGATACTGCCTCTCCCAGTGAGGATGGGGCCCCTGCAAGCACTCGGCACAAGGCCAGGACATGACAAAGGGAGAAAAGGACATGTCTGTGGACCTTCTCTCCACCAGGACCAGTTCTGGGACTGGTAAGCTTCCCACCGCAGCTCCCTGGACGCAGGCTGCCCACAAGCTGGAGAGGGTCAGCCTGTTTCCCACTCAGCTCTCCCCAAGTAGACACAGAGAAAGCACTCTCCTGCACCCTGAAAGGAGGAGAGCTGAGGAGGAGTATTTTCATTTACACATATCTGAAACCTAAAGCCTGCCAGAAGTTGCCAGTGAGCACTGGAAACCCCATGTGGCTTGGTGGACCAAAACAGCTGAATGCTCTGGCCCCGAGTCCTGCCAGCTCATGTCCTGATCAGGAGGCCAGGGAACCCCCAGTGGAGTTAATTTGAGGTGGGTCTGCAGGAGGCAGGCTCCAGCCCACTTCCCACCCTCAGTGGAGGAAGGTGTTGAGCTATGGCAGAGGCCACCAGTGTGATAAGAGTCCCCTTCTTCCTGTGTAAGAGCTGAAATGCCAGCTGAGATGGACTGCTGATGGTCACAATCCTCTCTCCTTTGCACACCTCACCCCCTACCTCCTGGTGTCCCCAAGTCCATTTGGAGTCATACTCACCCCCTGTGCCAGCCACACGGATGTCATTGCTATTGCCTTCATAGGTAAAGAGAGCCCTGAAATGAAACACAAGTGAGTTCTGTGGCTAGCATCTTGGGTTCCGTCTCTCCACACCGCACCTACCATGGCTTCCCACTATACCCCAAAGAGTTTGGGCTGACACTAACACTGTGAGCAGACACGGGCCTGTTCTCAATTTGCTCTGACCCACTAGGCAGGTTCTCAGTAGGCAACTACGCAGCCTTCTCAGCTCTGCAGCTGGGATGATGCTGGCCTGACTTACCATGGGGTTGGGGGAGCGCACATCTACTGTGAGGAAAACATGAGCTGTGGAGTTTCGCAGCGACTGCTACAGAGTCATGTGTCAAATATTCACCTGGCCACCAGGTAAATGGATTTGAAGAGAAAAAACATACATATTCCTGAACCCAGAGCACCCATAAGGAGAAGCAAGTTGGAGAATACATGCACTGGACCCCTTGGAAGGCTGCCCACCACTCCTGTGCATGTCTGCCCTGGCTCCAGTGAAGCCTGGTGGGTAGGGTAGTAGGTTCTTCCAGGCTTGAGACTCTTTGGTAAACACACACTTCTACAGGTTGTATTAATCGGAAACCACAAGGCAATGCCGCAACATGAAATCACACAGTTAAAACCATGAACCTGCCAAGCCCTTCACGGACAGGTCCCCATGAGCAAGTTTTCTATCTAGCAGAGTCTTATCTCTCCATGGGTGACATGAAGCCATGACTTTCTTTTCCTGTAAGATTAATTATTCATAAGAACTCTGGGCCAGGCATGATGGTTCAGGCCTGTAATCCCAGCACTTTGGGAGGCTGAGGCAGGAAGATCGCATGAGCCCAGGAGTTTAAGATCAGTCTGGGCAACATGGTAGGACCCTGTCTCTACCAAAAATAAAAATCAGCCAGGCATGGTGGCACATGCCTGTAGTCCCAACTATTTGGGAGGCTGAGGTGGGAGGATTGCTTAAGCCCGGGAAGTTGAAGCTGCAGAAA